TTGCTCGTTGCTTGTTGAGTGCTGCAGCTACTTTTTTGTCTTACAGGCCCTGAAGAGTGTGGTGCTCTATGTGATTCTTTCACCCTATGAGAACGAGCAGTCAGACCTTGTGCACAGAATCAGTGGAGACAAGAAACTGGAAGAAATCCCGAAATACAAGTGAGAAATAATTTTTGTTTTTTTGTTTTTGTTGTTGTGTACTCTAAAAAAGTAAGCTACAGATGTGTTGTGGCTAGATAATAGAAAAATACAAAGAAAACACAATATATGCTACAGTATAATGTAGCTTGCTACCTTTTCTCAATTACTATATGAATCTTTGTGGACAGTCCCACGCACAGTGGGTATTTGCTATTTTAGCAAAGTTGCTAAATGTTTTTATCTCAAGAAAATGCTAAAAACTGTATGTAAAAATGTTGCTGTTTGCTGATGATGGTAATATTTTCTGCCCTGGTGATGATTTGCTGGCTTCACCTTATTTAAGCTATTGTGCAGAAGTCTGGGGCAATAACTACGAAAGTACATCACATTCACTGTTATTATTTATTTATTTATTTTAAAGGCAGTAATAATAATTTACAATTCAGGTTATAAGGACTTTATAAATTGACTATTTTTAAAGATTAAATTATTAAAATTTGTAGATCTTGTGAAATTCTGGACAGCACTTTTTTTTCCTTCTTTTCTTTTTTTTAGAGCAAAAAATAATCAGCTACCAGGAAATATTCAAAGCATTTTTTTTCTGAGAGAATGAAGTTATAATTTAAGGGGTTTTTGCAACTTCAAAACTGAAGGTGTATACTACCAGGAAAAGTTTTAGTTTGAGTGTGTGGAGACAGTTAAAGGTTGAATCAGTGTCCAAACATGAAGCAGGTCAAAAAGAGAGGTATGGTATGGATATGGTCCTGAAGAGATGTAAAGAAGGGGACAATGTTGAATTTCAGTGAATGTCTCTCTGGTTGTTACTTTGTGCTTATTTGGATTTTGTAATTAACATTCCCTAAGTGGAGTTACTTGGCTTTCACATGCAGATGTGAACTTATGGAGTTGTAAATATAAGATGATCTGATTATTATTTTGTGTATTTCATTTTGTTTATATTCTGTGTTATTGGAAGTATTTATAATGTTGTTGTTGTTGAGGTTTATAACAATAATTAAGTTGGCTAAATAGTATCTGATGATTTATGAAGGAAGAATGTGATTAAATAAGTGTGCACTTCTTCCCACTTATTTCAGATAAGTAAACTGAGTCAAAAAAAGAGGAGCAGTATTGTACTGTGTTTTGCTTCATTTTTCTTCTTTTGCCGTTGTTTTCCTACATAATTACGTAATCAAACAATCCACACAAATCAACAAAACAATTCAAGGCAGTACTTTTTCCTAAGCTACTTGGGAGAGCTAACCACAGCAATGTTCACATATGTTGATACTGGGTGTGTACTCTCCGTAGCAAGGCGTAGATACAAGTTTTTTGGGAGGGGTTGTTAATAAATATTCTTCTTGTCCCAGGGACCTTCTGAAACAGTTCACTACCATGGAGTTAATGCGCTGGGCATCCTTGGTGGAGGATTATGGGAAAGAGCTGAGAGAGGGATCAACCAACAGCCCTGCAACAGATGTCTTCTCTTATACAGAGGAAGGGGAGAAAAGGTGGAAGGACCTGAAGAATAGAGTGGTCGAGCATGTAAGTCCTATTGTCGAGAGCAGGGGCTTCTCACTTGGAGTTTGAACACACAACTGTGACACTTTGTTAGACTTGTTTTAGTTTTGACAGTTTTCTGAGTGCTTTCTTAGTTTTAAACTAGTCAGTGGGTGACATGTTTTTCCCTCGTTTTTTACTAAAGTAAAGTAGTTGGAAGGACCATTCAAAACCTTTTTTTTTTTTTTCTTATAATGATCAAGAGACTGAGTTCAATTTAAATAGATACAAGGACTAATCCCAAAAGGTTGATTCCCTTCATCTGGACGTAGCGTTTTCAGTGGGAGAAACATTTTGTCAGGCATCCAAGTGACTTCTTCAGTCTCAGCTGACTGCAGGTTTCCCCATCCTTATAAACACTGCATTTGCACAATGACTGAATTTAGCCCACTGAATGAACAATGGGCTGTTAGGTCAGTTCCTTGATCATTAATATGTAATGGGACTAAATGGAACACAATTTGACATACAATAGAAATACGATGGAGGCAACTGGGATAAAGATGACTCTGAAGCTTTATGCAGATTGAGTGGATAAACTGTCTGGCTCTTATATTTAGGTACATTGTGTGTGCACTGATAACAGTGATATGATTTTCATGTGTTTTCTGCTGTCCCCAGAACATCCGAATAATGGCCAAATATTACACGAGAATCACAATGAAAAGGATGGCTAACCTTCTTGACCTCTCTGTTGACGTAAGTAAAACAAATTAGTAATTTCTTGTAATCTGAAGGTCATTTTTATGCCACATCATATGTTTGTCAATCTGTAGTTTTCGTTTTAAATAGCTAAATAACTCATTTAAATGTAGTTTTTGAGTGTAACTCGGCATTTCCGAGTTACAGTCAAAAACTATAAATAAGAGGCACTAACCCAGGTCTCTCTCTCTCTGTCTCTCGTTAAATACTTTATCAGGAATCGGAGGAGTTCCTCTCCAGCCTAGTTGTAAACAAGACCATCTACGCCAAGGTTGACCGGCTGGCTGGCATCATCAACTTTCAGCGGCCCAAAGACCCCAATGACCTGCTCAACGACTGGTCACACAAACTCAACTCACTTATGTCTCTGGTCAACAAGACCACACATCTCATTGCCAAGGAGGAAATGATTCATAACCTGCAGTGAAACGAGAACAAAGTGCTTTATTTTATGTTTTGATTCATATTTTGTTTTTCCTTCTGTGGAAATGTTTTTGACTACACAGTATAATGGCAGCCTGTGAAAGCAATCTAATTCCGATGTGATAGAATTAGCAAAAAAAGTCTTCAACACACATAAACATGCAAACACTTATCCTTTGCATCTCACTCTGGACTGGATATTCAAAGTGTTACACATTGCCATTTGATGTAATATATACAGTAGTTTAGCCTCTGTTTCTTTATAAAAACCTGGTTTTCAATGTACATCTAGCAATGGTAAACAATAAACTTCTGACATTTGGTTAACAGTTATATATGTAGGTGTTATTGTAGCCTGACTTACATTGATTCTATTATGACAAACCATGAAAACATGAGTGTATAGTAGGTGATAAAAGGATTAATGTGGAAAAATACCAAGGGTGTACAGCGCACAAAATTCAATGAATAATATGTGCCGATGGTTTAATTACAATGGGTTATCCAGATTGCAGATCCCTCTCTTCACTTTGCTTTTAATCTCCACGGGGCCCAAAATGAAATGTTTGACACATTCATACGCCACATAAAAAGTTTTTTTCCACCAGCAGATATATTGACAAAGAAATTGTTGGCATCCAGTTGTGCACCAGTAAACACCACAGTAGGCGTTTTGAGTGGTAATAGCACAAAATCACAGGTAGAACTAATGACATTAAATGTGGCTCAGGATAATAAAATGTCAGGGGTACCATAACAATGAGCTAGCATGCATAATAGCAGAATACTGGAACTTCTTATTTGAATGGAAAACTGCTTTTAATCATAGCAATTACCTCTGTGCTTTACTTACTATGTGTATGTGCCCTCATTTCTTGGCTTACGAGTGCGGAAAATACAATTTTAACTAGCTCAATTATATTTTCCCTCTTTTTTTATGTCCACAATGTAATGTGGCAAGTCAACATAAAGATTCAAATGTTATTATTGTGGATATTTTCAATACATCACAGTTTAATCTTACACACACCACTTATTGTTGTGTGTGTGGTCATTTCGGTCATTTTTTTAATACGCTCTATGAAGCATATGGATTAATTTTGTTCACCTCGAGGACTTGATTGGATTTATTAGAAACACCTCATCTGTGTCACGAAATCGGGTCATATCATTGTACATCCCTGAGAGTTATAAAAGGCTTGACTGGATGGATGAGGAAAAAAACTTTAGGTTAAGGGAAGATAACTGACATTCCTAAAATGTCATAAACTCAAAATACTTTTTAGTTTTATACTAAATTTTTTAGTTTAATAAACATCATTTGATGCAGATTTCTTTTTTAAACCGTAATGCTACATTTCAGATTTTATATTTTCAGACATATAGGAGTCAATCCTACAGTTGTAGAACATTGTCTGTCCCACTCATGAATTTGAAAATATCTATAAGATATTAAAACATGTATTTGGGGGTTAATTACATCTGTCCTGAGACAAAATGTAAACCTAGTTGTTGATAAAGTGGTTCCAAAATTATTATTTAAAATATAAAATAACTCTTGAGAAACCCCTCCCCCAAAAGAAAATGGCATTTTTCTCTTCCAACTTCTTCATAACCAAATTGCATGTCAAATACAACAATTAAAATGTTATAAATTCACTTTTTTGTTTTCATTTTGTTGGCATGTGTGTTCTAATTGTTAAACAACTTTTTAAAACACCAACATACTTTAAAGAAGAGTGATTGTATCCCAGATCATTTGTTCAACTATGCCCATTTAGCCTGGAAAAGGAAAAGATAAAGTAGTTAGAAGGCGACAAAAAAGAAGTAATATGAACAAGTCCTGTGATAACACTATGGATAGTCCAAAGGTCGGTTCTCTTTGGCAAATTTTGTATTTTTCCAATCTTTTCTGACTAGACCGTATCACTCTAACCAATGCAACACTGTTACCTGTATTACAAAAAGAAGATAAATTAATTTTGGTGTTTTCTTCCTTTTTTAAATATATATATTCACAATCATTCATGACTGTTGCAGACTATTATGTTAATCAATTCAATATATACTCAATATATATATATCTATATATATATATATGTGTGTGTGTGTGTGTAATAAACTTTCTAAATATATTAAAAGTATATAAAATATTATCATTATTATTAAATGAGTTCACAAGGGTTTATATGTGTGAACAGTGTATTTGAGGAAAGATAAATATTGAAATTAAATGAAAAAGTTGGGGAACGTAGATTTCAAAAGTTGCTTAAATGAATATAAATTAAGTCTTAAGAATGTATATTATATGCTATAAAATATGCTTTTTCATATTCCAGAGTATTGGTGTGAGCTGTACCAAGCATAGCACACAGCAACTTAAATGTCACATAAAAGTGTACTTTTGATACCTGAGGTGGACAAATCTATATTTTTGATGTTTTTTTTAATGTGTTTTTCTTAGAAACATAACAGAGAATTTTGAAATAAAAGACCAGTTTTAAAAAACGATTCCTAAATTGTGCTCTAACTGCAGAATGACCCGTAGACTAACTTTACTTGAATTTTAGTCCCACGTGTGTGCTTACAAGGAATAAAACTAACTACTATGACAAAAAGGATGCTTGTCATCACGGGCCATATAGACGCGCACGCAAACACACGTTTCGGTCCCCTCAACCTTCAGATCTGTACATCCCACTATGCTTTGCGATGACGGTCTGACAAGTGGATCCAAGATGGCGTAGAAAGTAAAGCTAGGTAAGTGTTGACTTCCCATTTTCAGCCCTTTCAGTTGTCTTTTTCATCTCAAAGGCACTGCCACGAAACCCCACCATAAATCATTAGGATAATGGCGAATGCTTTGAGTTTATGCACGAATAACAACACGATGTCATACCAGTTATATGCGTCCAAACACCGTGGCAAAATCACAGGCCCGAACCCGTTTTGTTTCGGCGAACCTAGCTAGCTAGCCCGCTAACATTAACAAACCAGACAGCCATTCTTGTTGTGAGCTTCCCAGTTTGGTTCCAAGAAAGGCCGTGTTTTGGCTAGCAGGCTAACTGCTAGCTACGCATACTCTATTTAGTGGCAACACTGTGTGCCCTGTGCAAAGGCGAGCGATAAGTTGACCAACACTTTGAGTGGGGACATTTTTTTTTTGTTTTTTTGTTTTTTTGCAAGGCTTTGTGACGCTGCCGTCATCGCTCTTACTTGCAGCAGTCATGACAAGTTTGCTGGACAAACAATAGCTATAACTAACTACTGAAAGGCAGATCATGTCCACTCCAGTGTATTTGCTATTTAGTGTATGCACTCTTGCTGCCTCCTGCCAGTTAAGCTCAGGGAAATAAGTTTTTACAGCCGTATTTTGCACACGTTGCTGCTGACTATACTGTCAAGCCAAATAACGTTATCTGAAGACAACGGAGACAGTCGCGGTTGCTCTACAACTATTTTCCGTTATAAATATCAACGTTTTCTTCCACTATATATTGTAATCGTGGAGTCCCACGACTGGACACCAAAAATAAGACAGCTGCCCACCCGCTACATCCCGCCAAACTATTTTTCGTTGCACCAGTGAAGTGGCAAGCACTAATATTAGGTAACGGATATCCCCACAGTAACAAATAGGGCTGTGAATCGCTACATTGGTTTTAAACTAACCCTACTTGATCGTGGCAAGCACTGTGTTAATATCAGTCATGCATGTCTTTTGTTTTTTTGTTCTACAATTCTGTTGTTCATCTTCCCATAAGCCATCATTCCCTGGTCAAGCAACTTTTAACTCTCAACTACTTTTGGATGATTACATGTTTTTTCCTTAGTCTTAAGACTATTTTAATTATTATATTTGCAGAAAGTTGTTTTACAAATACAAACAGCTACTTTAAATTTAAATCCCAGAAGTTATTTTAAGATTTTCTGACACTGTGGATGAACCATTTTTATGCAAAATGCTCGCGTGACGACGAGGTGTGGCAAAATTGGTTAGTTTCATGTCTGCATGATGACAAAAAACTAGTTATGCTAATCAAAAATGCATCTGTATTTTTTATTTTTTTTTAAAGGAAGCGTTCACACCATGAGTTCACTTTTTGAAGATAAGCAGACCTATAATGTGTCATATTCCTAAATGAAAAGGCAAAGAATTAGCTGCTTATGGTCCCCTCCCTGCTTGGTTAGCTTATTTTTTTCTGACTCAAGGAATATCTGTCCAGGCCAATGGTGATGATTGTGGTATTTTTAGCGTTAAAATTAATATAAGTGCAATGACTGCATTATTTGCTTCACATATGCTTTTTGCGACAGTGAAAAAAATCCTTCAAATACATTATTGTGTCATGTGTATTACCATGTATTGCACATAAGCTGAAAGACTTGTCTCTCTATGGTCCTAAGAGACATGTTGAGCCAGAGCAGCTATTACTAATGTAGCTGTATGTTAGTAGATGTTGAAGAAGTGTCTCAAACACTGTTACAGGGTTAACAGACTCCCCCACTGCACCGACTGCCTGTTGCATGATTGATTTTGATTTTGAAAATATTTTTTTAACAATGTGTGAAATGTCAAATCCTTTTGTTTAATGTCTTCATCGTGCGATGCAGGTGTAAATTGCAATTTTACAGCTAGCATATAGTAATTTGGTGCCTCCTCTCTCTCTTTCAAGGACACCCTGTTCCAAATATGCCTAAAATTACTGTGCTGTAGGTGACAGCTTCCCTGTTCCTCTGAGGTAGTCAGAATCAAAATCTAAATTCCATACTGTGGTGAGTGCTTGGATTGAAATTGAGCATCAGCTAACTGTTGAAACTCAGTTTGCTTTGCACATAGCTATAATAGGGACTTTTAGTGTAGTATTTTTGTGACAAAAGCTCTTTATCTGCCTTCCTGAGATAAGTTGCAGTTCTGGTGTTGAAACCAGCGTGGTTGGAAACCGGGCCAGAAGTTGCTAGGCTGTTATCCAAGGCTAAGCATTTGAGGCTTTGGCGTTTGACAGGAGTTCACAGTGTACCCTCCCTATCCTGGAAAAAAAAAGCCACTTTCTTGTTTCTTACATGTTGTTGTACAAGATATTAATTAGAAGTTGCTAGAAAAACTACTAGTAACAG